TGGAGTGTGCAAGGCTTGCTGCAGTAACACGGACTGCGGAACTACGGAGGTCTGCTGTGATGGACAATGCCAAAGTGGTGAGTGCTGCCCTGGGAGCCCGAATTGCTGCAACCGAAAGACATGCGTTGCAGGCACCAAATGCTGCTTTGGACTGTGCCAAGATTGCTGCAGTGACACGGACTGCGGATATACGGAGGTCTGCAGTAATGGACGATGCCAGTGTGGTGTTATGTGCTGCAGTAACGACGAGTGCTCGGCTTGGCTCTCGTGCCGCCATGGACAATGCGTGTGGTAACCTATCCCCTGACCTGCGACCCCATATTGCCAGAATCGACAGACATGTCCTGCTGGCACCTGATGCTGCGATGGAGTGTGCAAGGCTTGTTGCAGTAACAACGATTGCGAGGTTGGGAATGTCTGCACTGATGGACAATGCACCGAGTACCACATCCCCTGACCTGCGACCCCATATTTCCTGAATGGACAGACATGTCCTGATGGCCCTTCGGTGCCGAAAGGCCGGAAATTCAGTGTTTTCACCGAAAAAATCAGGACAATATGGCAGTTTCGGTGAAAAATTCTGCGAAAATGACACCACCTATTAAACACGTGCATATCGCACCCAAAAAAAGTCTCTCCTCCCCCTCCTCTACTTTGTCTGTGTATGTATCCATACTCTGATCCTGGACACGACTATGATTATCATCATTCATCATCGAAGTTGAGACTATTGGACTGGCATTGTTGGCGGACATCTGAGCTTTGATGTGACGATTGCCCATGCTTGCATTGTGACGAGGAACTGGGCTTACATTGTCGACGAGTATCTTTAGGATCGGGTTCATTGCAATTTGGTATCAGAGCATACCTTCCGTGACGAAAGTGACGACGACGACGATCATACGCGCTCAAGCGTGACTTGGACGATGAAGAAAACGAAGGCGATGACAGCGCCGAAGATTACGACGAGGGAAACGGCGCTCATGCAAGTATACACTCGCGCGCGTTTATAAACGCGGTTCTAGACGGTGAGCAGCCGTTTCCCACCGAAGTCTGCACGTGCGCACACGCCAGGTGGCGCACAGGTAAGTTGAGGAGGGCACCCCAATCGCGATTATAATCGCGTGCGCTTCTCAGCGCGATCGATCTAGACATGGACGGGCTTCCCTCCTCATGAAGAACGCGCGCATGCACGGAAGACTTTGACAAGATGATGATGATGAAGACTTGTTGCTGACGTGGCATTATTGAAGATCGCGTCAGCGAGAGGGAGCGGGACCTGACTATGCTGACGTGGCAGTAACGGGCCGCCGTGCTTACGATGAGTGCCCTCCTGCTGACGTGGCAATAAGCAGATTGGCTGGTTCGACGAACCAAGGCTGTGGCAGAATACTGATCACAGTTGCTGATGTGGCACCCCACCTATTGATTGGCTGATTGAATGCTGGCGTGGCAGGTCTGTATGGCTTGCTGAGTTGGCATGCCAGGGGTGACACGTGTCAGGCACGTGCGTGCCTAAGTGAGGAGGTACATCCCAACGGCGAAGGCCGTACGGCTGATTGCACAGCTGTAGTGCCAGCTGTCGATTGGGGTGTTGAATCGCATTTCCCAGGGTCTGACGCAGGGGAAAGAAGAGGTGCTGACATATTGTTGTTTGTTGTTGGCATACTTACCTTGCGTCGTTGTTTGTCCTGTGTTGTGCGTACTCACTTGTGTTGTATCTGATCACATCATCACACGGCCTGTTGTGGTACCGGCTTCACATGAAAGAAGAACGTCGTCACACAAAGAAGATTGGAACAGCGAAAAAAAATAAAAACAAAAATAATTGATTTATCTTTTTCTTCAGTCCTTTGAAACCAAACCTTGCTGTATCAGACCCGTGCGGCCGTGGAATTTATTATTGTTTGATTATTGTTTATTGTGCGGCGAACGCACGTCGAACTGTCTCAGTCTGCTGGAGCTCAGATTGCTGAGGAACTTCCTGAGGCTCGAACCAGGGCACAGGTTGAGGAGCGGAAGAGGGTGCTGACTGCTCGACTAAACATATTGGCCACTGAACTCCATGACGCCGGTGAGGATGCGGAATCCCATGTCCGGGCCCAGTTTGATCTCAAGGCAGCACCAGCTGCTCTTGAGGCAGCACAAACTGGCATCGACGTCATCAAGGTTCAGGAGGTACTGATCGAGTGCCGTAATTTAAAAGCACTTGATAAGTACATCCTGAAATAGTTGTCTGATGTTGCCAATGGAAACAATAAGAAAGAAACGTTTGTGACTGAACAGACTGTGGATGAGAATATCCGGCAACTCGAGGAAGCACTCGCAAAAGAGAAACACCGGAAAGAACAATTGAGAATAGAAAGAGAGAGAAACACACAGCAAGAAAGAAGAATGAACGAAATCAGACAACATGTACTTGTGACTGAGGGGGAAGAACAAGTGGTTTCTCTAAATCAGCTTGTGGAGTATCTCGCCCATCTTGAATCGAGACTTGATCAGTTTGGCTTGCGATTGGATGATCTTACGGTAGGTTTAAAGACTGTCACTAATCTGGTCAAGGGAAAAGACAAGGTGGTCCAAAAATAAAAAGAAGAGAAACCGAAGGAAAAACTGATGAGTGACGCCATGAGGAGTCTCACGGTGGAAACAAAGAAAGGGGAACCATCAAGTCCTCCACCGTCGACTCCACCGTTGACACCACCACCGAGTCCGCCACCAAGTCCGCACTCATCAGGCGACAAGAAAGAAAGAAACAAACAAACTGAGAAACCAAAGAAGAGGGAAAAGGAAAAGATGAAACTACCTTTTGCGTTTTGTAACAAGAAGGATGAGAACCTGTTATTATGGATTGCTGAAATTCAGACATACTATGGCACGACCCCTGTCGAAGAACAGTCTCAGGTCGCTTTCTCCACGTCTTGCCTAGGAGAAGAACTGAAGGAATGGGTTTTAGCTGAGGCTAATGCTGCGGGATTTGACGATATTGGTAACTGGCTGGGAAATTGACATTAAAGCAGTTCCTTGACAAAATCAAGGAACGCTTCCTAGACAGGACCATGGCCGACAAGGCCTTTGACCAGCTCATGACGATTGGTCAAAAGCACTGGATGTCTGTTGAGCCACTGTCCCGAGAAGTTGATCGTTTGTTGCAGGTTCCGAGGTTGAACTTACTGGACAATCAGGTCTTGTACATTTACTCTCGCGCTTTGCCTGAGCCCATTCGGGGAGAGCTCGTGGCGGACAAAATCAGGAATAGGCAGTTTCAGGATTTAGCTCTCCAACGGGAGCAAATGACGTCACAGGTAAAGAATTTGTATGCATGGGTTGTGAAGTATGGTGGTGGTGCAGGTGCAGGTAAGCGAGTACTCGGGCGCCAAAAGCGTCAGGACCACATGCTCGTCGTCTTTGACGACGATACTATGGAGAAGTGGCCATTGGAGGCCGAAGGTGTGCCGAGCAGCAGTGAGTCGGGAAAGGGGGAAGTCACTGCTACCGCGGTCAATAAGGGAGGACCGCGACCGTTGTTTCGAAGGAGGAGACCACGCTCGTTTCCCGAGCATCCCGGAATGGCGGTCGGGAAGCCCTGGGAAAAGATGGACATAGACCAAGTGGCAAGAACCGATGGACAATGCGCAATGCCTAAAGTGTTGGATTGCGGGGCATGTGATCGCTTGGTGCCCACTCATCCGGAACCCCAAAGTGAGCCGCCAGTAGGAGTAGCATCTACTCCTACTGAGTTGAAGGATTCGAACGACAGGAGAGGTAAGGCGCCTACTAACCCTTTCAATCCTTCGCCTCGCATGGCAGAGGATGGTTCTTCTCCAGCCCATCGTTCAGATCACCCTGAACCTGTTTTATGCTATGTCTCTCTGAACGACTCTCTTGACGAGCTTGGTAACGAGTTGCTAGCATTACGAAGCTCGTGGGCGAAGAAATCGAAGTCTAAGAGTGAACTCCTACTCGCGGACGTAGAGATTGCATATGCACGAGCGGATGTACTACTAGACTCGGGATCCACGAGGTCCTACATTTTCGAGAAAGCGATCCGCAAGTTGCATCTCAGAATGAAGGTAAAGAATCTCCCTCAATCTGGGTATGGATTGGCACGAGGAAGCCAACCCAAACATCAAGTTTAACGAAAAGATTGTGCAGCTGAGGGATGCACAATCAGAATTGAAAGTCATCAAGTTGTATCATAAGTCTGACTCTGACTCTAACTTGTCATTTTGTTGTATGAGTTACCCAGCTTTTAGATTGATGGTCACGAAGAAAAAACTGGAACAGGAAGTGATGATGGTACTGGTAAAACAAGTTGGTTAGTCCTCCACTTCCTATCCACCCTCGATTGAAAAACTCCTTGATGAGTATAAAGATCTATGTATGGAACCTACAAGTACAGGGATAACTGCGCGCACTATTAAGCACACTATTGAAATCATTCCTAGAAGTAAGACTCCCAAGGGCCCTATCTACAGGATGTCTCCTAGGGAACTTGAGGAACGGAGAAAACAACTCCATGATCTAACTGAGAAAGGATGGATTCGCCCACGCTCTTCTCCTTATGGCGTTCATAGCAAATGCCTTCTGACCATACCCCTTGAACAGAGCAAGGTCAAGGTTGACCTTGTGGTCAGTCTTGACCTAGTCGGTACCCTGCTCATCGTACACCAAAGTGAGGAAGAACTTCTTCAAGTCTCGCTCGTCGACCTTGCCCTTCTCTCTCGTGGCCTTGTCAATTTTAGACCTGATGTTGCCACCACAACATTACCAAGTCGCCCCTTCGTCCTCCGTCAAAAACACAGCAGCACCGCACACGGGCTCGCCGGTCACTCCGACCCAGTTGAGAGTCCACATCTTGTCGCGATACAGTTTCGACCTGTTGTTGTACCTCTTATCCGCATCATTCAGACCCTTACGACCTCTCCCTGGAGGAGATATCCATAAGAAAAAGGACGAGGGATGCATTAATGTCACCTATCTCTATCTCACGCAGCACAAGATGGGACATAGCAAACAACAGAAGCAATCGCAAGGCACATGCCGACGACGCTCATTCCACAGGGGGGGGGAGTTTGGTAATCAGAAGTCAAACAAAAACGGGCTTCTGCAAGCCAGAGACCCAGCCTTTTACAAACCTTGAACCCCCTGCGCACCGGCCGAGCCATTGGTGGGAGTCCAGCGTTTGTAGAACGCTGGACCCCCGCCTTGCACAAGCCGATATGCGGGGGTCCAGCGTTTGTGAAACGCCGGACCCCCGCGTACCGGCGTCGCTATTGGCGGGTGTCCGGCGTTTTACAAACGCTGGACCCCAGCCCTCGACCCCGCCGGCAGGTAGGGGTCCAGCATTTCGTAAACGTTGGACCCCCGCCTACCGGCCTCTATTTTGGCGGGGGTCCAGCGTTTGTCAAACGCGCGACCCCCGCCGATGGCTCGCCCGGTACGCGGAAGTCCAGCATTTGACAAACGCTGTACCCCCGCCCACTGGCCGTGCTGATGGTGGGGGTCCCGCGTATGACAAATGCCGGATCCGTC